GCACATCAAAAATCAATGTGTGTCAATAAAATCAAGTCTGAAAAGACCACAAGAATTGAGGTCAGTGTGTGCAGTGTTGTGCAGTTTTTAAAAGACTTTTAAAGTTGGCTTTAAAAGTGCTAATAGTGCTGCAGCTCCTCACACCTTCAGGCAGGGTGTTCCACTGGTGTGTTGCTTTTACAGAGAAGGCTGATTGACCAAAAGTAGTGCGGCAAAATGGTATTGTACAGTCTCGTGTAGAGGATATTCTCGCTGATCTAATAGAAGTTGCTGAGCGAGTATATACAAAGTCACAGAGTGGAGGAGGGGCCAAACCATTTAAAAGTCTATAGACCAGGCACAAATTTGAGAACACTCTAAAATTGTTAAAGCTCAGTAAATTATGCTTCTCCAATACCCTACAATGGTGAAAGTGCAACGGCCTTTTTTCCAGAATTTTTATTGTTTGCTTATATAAAGACTCGAGAGGTCTTATGGCTGTTTCACCAGCCTGCCCCCAACACGCCATGTGCCCTAAAGCGTACCCTGGAGGGTTGGGTCATTTTCTCATAGACTTCTATAGAAGACTTCTTTTTGGCCCCCTAAAGTCAGCAGGGTCCATCCTCTGGGGGGACCATGGTTATAGAGCCTAGTGCTAGCATGGCTAAATAAAAAAAGCAAAACCTAAAGCATAAATGGACGATTATGATTTCAAATTTTGAATCCTTTCATCACTCCTAAGAAAACCAAACAGCAATTGGACGATTTGTATTTGAAGCAGGTGGCTTCCAGCACTCTTCTCTTTGCAATCTCTCACCTCTTCCCCTTTCTCTCCCGCTATTTCATTAGCACTTCATTCTTCTTTCTTCCCCGGTGGTCATATCTTCCCCCCCTTTTTTTTTTACTTCCCGTTCTCCCTCTCCATTTACTCTGGGGTAAAGATGTAGCCTACTAAATAATTCAGAACGGGGCCTGATTTATAAGAGCGCTCGTAGCGCCCAGACGTCTCAGGCTCGCTCATCAGTCAGGCTCATTCTGGCTGAAGAGCGGCGCGGCGGCCTAATCTCTCCGACGGCACGACCGCTGTCCCTGAGCTGCTGCACAACGTCCCGGTGCGTTCCAAAAAAGGCACTCGTGGAAGCAGGTTCGCCGGCCAATGACAGACCATGGACCGTCTTCTCCGGACGTTATCGCGGTCAAGCAGCCAGGCGCGGTACGTCTCGGAAACAATATCCTAGAAATATCCTGACTCCAGGTTTACGGTCGTTTAAAGTGTTAGTTGAGGTATTTCATGGTCTTCTGCAGGCTGTGAACCACATCAACAAGGGAGGAGGTAGCATGTGGAACAGAATAACCGATGTTCTACTCACAAACACAATCATTCGGAATCACTAAGACGGACAACATTTGAGGAGTTTTCGCCCCCAGGGAACCGTCATATGGGGAGAGTTGCGTTGCAGAATCGTGATTGTCTGCTCTGTACGTGGGGGGACTAAAGTGGTGGGAGGGAAACTTATGATTACAATAGCCGTTCTTATACACTCATTAAATGGGATAATTTGGAGTTAATTGAAGTATAGAGGAATTGCACAATTACTCATTATGCTAGGGCTTCCCCTCGAGGATCCCTGAGAGCCAAAGCACTGCCAACCCTGATAACATAGAGCAGGTAGAATTAAATATGTATGCATGTAAATGTAAAAGCACAGCTGCATGATGATTTATTGTATTCCGCCGTCACACAAAGGCAGACAGTGTGACGAAACATGCTAATTAGATCTGGGGTTCGATAAGATTGTTTTACATCAGAATCCATAATTGAATCCGCCTTTACAAACTAAATCCGTTCAAATCCCTCGCAGAATTAATTTAGATTTAGCTTTCAACATTTGCTCGAAAGTAAAGTTATGAATCACTAAAACCCAAAGATTCCATTGAGACCCAAAAGCATGTGTTGTTGGCTGAGGAGGGGGAAGCACCGCAGTAGGTAGCCTAGTGTTCACAACCTGAAAATGAGATGAGCTACATGAATATGAAATGCTGACTAAATATGTAACTGACACAAAGACATAACAGGTGTAGCCTACCAACTTCGGCATATTTTTTCACAAGCGTCTTGGTCCCAAAGTCAGAACTACTAAATTGAAATTCACTGGATGAGACGTTCAACTGACCAACCACCCGATCTTTTACCTGTTATATCATTCCCCATTGATTAAGCCCTGCAGTTAGTCAGTGTGTGTGCTAGGGCTGTACCAAATAGTTCAAAGCTTGGTTCATAACGTTGATATTTGAATTCTAAATGCATTTTTGCACGTCTATTCATTCTGTTTGAAGCTGTTATTTCTGCACAGTTGCGGGTATAAAGAATAAGCTCCAGTGATCATTTTAGAATTACGCAGTTTACAGAATCAGATTCCAGTGATGTCTGCAGAGTGTTGTTTCAGAATTGTGTATCAAAAAGTCTAAATTGATTAGAAAAGATAGGTGTTATCATTTTCAAAATTCACTTCATGTTTTTATCTGACGGAATATTCTGCTTCAATCCACAATCCGCCTTTCAAAAACAACATTTTCACCGCGGTCAAACAGCTGTCTGCTCTTCCCCTTGCCGCTCACAAAGGGAGGCACGCACCTGTATTAACGGGTTCGGTCCAGCAGCACCAATAATTACGTTTATACAACCACAATAACATATAAATCTAATTTGTCTTTGGTCATCATGGTCAGTCCAGAGACTGAGGGTACAGTAGGGGCCTCACTGAAAGCTGGGGGCCACTTCCCTTATAGAGAAATGACCAATGAGCTGCACCGCTGAACCGAACCAGCCTATCAGAAATGAGCTCCAGGCCAACACTGGTATTGCATTTATATGAACGGTTCTCTACCTCCCATTCGTCCACCCAGCTTTTTCTCTCGCTCTCTCTCTCTCTCTCACCTACATTGTTTTACTCAAGTGTCAAAATTTGGCAGCGAAACTGACAAAAAAAAATTACAAATAGGCCGAGCACATGATTTTCTCTGCACGGCGGACTCCGTCGATCTTCCTCGAATCTCCGTCAGAAGTTTCAATCAAAGCAATTTGACTCCAGCCGTGGCATTTGAAAGCAACAGATGAGCACAGAGGGAGGAGGGTTGACGAAGTAATGAGAGTGGGATCGATGAAAAATACCCTGAGAGGCTGGTGGAAACAAACGCCATATACTGTATCTGAGGGACAGGTGTGCACTGCAGAAGGAAACAGCAGCAGTTTGCCTGGAAAGGTTTCACACTAACATAGATGGAGGAAGTGAATCTTTTGGGGGGTAGTTCAGCATGAAGGAGATTTTAAGTCAAATCTTTCACGAAACCAAACAATGTCAGTCAACTCATCTCCACAGCAGTTTTGGCCTCATACACCGTTTGCTCGACACCACATCTTGCCAGCTAGCTTTATCCCCCCCCCTCCCTCCGGCCTTCTCCTGTATTAGCATCAGGAATGCGAACTCAGCATGTTCACTCGCTGTGGTGCACGTTCATTTATCTGACCTGCATGTTCACAGAATAGTTGTGTAATACAGATTTTGTTTCAGGGAAAACTTGTGAGTGACATGTTTAATGCAGTTTTACTCCGGAGCCTCACAGAAGCAAAGCCCCTCTGTCAAATCAAGCAAAAGATGGAACATTGCGACAACAACAAAAAATGTGTGGACAAGCGTACCGGATTATGTAGGGGAAGGCAAATTTGTTCAACAAAACCCAACCAGAAAAGCCGTGACTGTGTGAGCTTATAAAATAATAATGTTTGGCAGCAAGAAAATGGGATTTACAGGAAATATGCTCTTAATATTATTTTCGCAATCTACAGCACTGAGCCTATACCACAGGTGTGAGACAGTGGGTAATATAAGGAGTTTTAATTCATCTGACAGAGAAATATTCATGATTGGGTTGTACAAAATAAAGACATAAACAATGAGATGGTAGAAATGTGTCTGCTGAGATTTTGCCTCATCATTTAAACATGTCCCCAGGAAATTATGCTTACTATTATTAAACAAATTATTACATTTTTGCAGGAAATAAAATACTAATTTTCGCAAGTACCGCACGGAGGTTGTTGGGAGGTGGTCGTACAAAGAGCAGGAGTTCGACACCTGAGACCAGAATGTCTCCTCGGCCCCACATTTTTATCCTGTCAGGGAGATCATACGCTTGTGGTCGCGTGCGTGCGTGTGTATGTATTTGTCCGTCTGTCCACTGTTAATCTCACATACTTGGACTTATTGTGCTAATATTTTCTGTGCCCATTTATGACCGTATAATCAAGGACCTCGTGGTTGCGGTGATTCACAAATTTTGGAGAGCCTAATTGAGTTCCAACAAAAAAGGCATTTCCGGCAATCGCTAAAGGCTTACTTATTTTAACATAATCCCCTGCCCATTATACTTTGACCAGGTCTCTAGTTTACATGGCATTTCAAAAAGACGACTGCAACGACACTTTGTAATAGCTCTGGTTGCATTAGAATTCCTAGTAAATTTACCATCACACCATTTATCAATAAAAAAACATAAAATGATATGATAGTTTCCCCTAATTTACGATGCAATCTTAAATAATTATCCGTGACTTCCTTGAAAGCATGCTAACAGATGTTACTCTTCTGCATACGTAACTACCCATTATGAAGACTGACCACACTGATATAAGACATGCGGCTTTCTATCAAGGGAGAGGAGCACGAGACCCGCTTTTGTTTGATGCGCACAGAAGAATAAGAAGGATAAAGGCAAACAACCAGAGGTCCCTTGCGAGCCACAGGCACACGGTTTTATTTATGAATTTAATTTGTGTTTTTCTTTAAGAGGCACTTGGTGGCCTGCCTCAACACAGAGGGGAGTTAGGACCCAGAGGAGTACAGCCAGGGAGTACTTTAAATTAGAAGCAGACGCCTTCTCTCTCTCTCTCTCTCTCTCTCTCTCTCTCTCTCTCTCTCT